CCTGAGATAGAATACCAGATTTGCTCGATACTAGGATGATTTTAAAACCCGACCAAACTTGTGACCCGACCCAGTTAACATCCGATTCGTAATCATAAAAAACCCGAACCAAAATGGATATTCCCCAGGTTCCCCAAATCGGATATCGACAAACCCTAAATCCCCAAATTCATCCCCAAATCCCCAAAACGCTTCTATTTCCAGGTGTTCTTATATGATTTCGAACTTTCTCAGGTCGATTACATAGGAAAACCGATTTGATAGGTGTTTTTTTGTAGATTGTGATGATGAGCGAAGAATCTGGAGCGAGTGCATCATCAGCTGGTCGAGCAAGAGGAAGATACGTCGGGGTGCCTAAGAGATGTTCGTGTGGGGAAGGAATTGTAGCCAGAATCTCTAAGTCGGACGCAAACCCATATCGGAGATATTACCGTTGTGCATTCGCCGTTGAACAAAAGGTGAATTAGCTTTGATTTCTTTTGCCATTGTCTATTATGCGATTTTGAAGCTAAATTGATTGTCATTGTTTATTATTGCTGTAGCTTGTCAATGACAATCACACTTTCAAGTGGGTTGATGAAGCATTGTTGAATGAAATTGAGGCATCAAAGTTGAGAATAGATAGACTTGAAGGCCACGTTAAAGCAAGTGCAACAGATTGTATGGAGGCTGAGAAGCACATGTATGAGAAGTTACAATTGAAGCTAGAGTCAGAGATTTCTGAACGGGTAGAAGAAAGGATTCTTGAAGCCAAATCGGATATGAAGAAATTGCTGTTGCTTGTGTGTTTTGGAGGTGTGATAATCCTTGGTTGTATTAAACTTGTGTGAAGCTTATTAGTTGTGTCTTTGTAGTTCTGGTAATTGTCTTTGGTATTATGTTTTAAGCTCATTTGGCAAACTTGTTTGAAGCTATTTGTTGGTTTGTCTCTCATGTGGTAATGGTATTTGTTTTAGAGTCACTTGGTGTATTGGTTTGTTTTTTTTTCAACTTGTGTTGATCGTATGATCCCTAAAACTACATTAAATGACTAAACAAAAACATAATCATAAGATAACCAGAATATGACATAACATTAAGACAGCCTCAATTGTTTATAAACCTAGACATCATGCATAGCCACAGACCACAACAGATCCGAAAATAGATGCCAAAGAAAGAAGGTTTTATAACAGGTTCCAAAACACACACAAAACAGGTCGAAAAATCAAAGAAAACACAACCGCATAAACATCTTCATTCCCCAAGCTGAGTAAGTACTTGTTGTGAACATTCAGGCTGAGATGATGATTCACCTTGAGAAGCCTGTAAAATCAAAGAAAAAGTGACATTAGTATACAGAGAAGATGAGAGATTACTATCCAAAAACACACAAAGAAGAGAACAAACCAATGTTTTCTTTTTATGAAACCGTGAATTGTGATTAGCGGCTCCACAAACTTTACAATGCATGACTCTTTTCAGCAATTTGTCTTTCTTCTTCACCGGAGATTCATTCTGCCTTTCTTTCTTTTTTTATCCGCCTTAGTAACCTTATTCCGACCAGGCATATCTGGCACCACAGGTTGAACAATGGACGGTTCTTCTCCAACAGGCCAAAAACGAGCACCTCTAACTGGAATAACACCATCTGTGTAAGTATCTCTCCACATCTCAGTCCTAAACCAATGGCAAACGTAATGCTGAGCTTCAATACCCTTCTTGATCATCACACCGTATGCATGTTCACAGGGGATCCCAGTGATTTGCCATCTTCTGCAGCTACAGGTCCTCGCCGTCAAGTCAACTCGATAAGCACACCCGTGAAGTCTTAAATAATATTGCATGTTGGTAGAGGGTTGGACAATGCATTTCGAAGCATCCTCAAGCAACTCAGCTAGGTACTTACTCACATATGGAGTACAAATCCCTTGGTGGTTAATAGCTTTGGCACTTCTCTTGGCTATACGAACCATTGCTAGTTTGGCAATGGTCTCTAGCATCGACACTAAAGCTTTATCTCTAGCTTTACCTGAAACATCAATGAAACACAACTATTAAAAAACCCACAAATATAAACATTAACAGAAAAGCAGAGATAGTTTCCTACCTATAGAATTGTTAAACGATTCTACGGAATTGTTTTCAACATCTTCACAATATGGTCCAAGCTTGTAAAATGCCCTACACCAAGTCTTCGGCTTTGTTCTCATCAAATCAGCATAGACAGCATTGTCAAAGAGTTCTATCTTCCTCAAGTTTTCTCTGAATTCAGGTTTGTTGTAACTCCAAGCTAGATTCCAAATCAAGACCTCAAATTTGAGGTTTGCAGTTTTTATTTGTATTTTAGTCATCACAATTATATATTTCATAAATAATCATTTTATTTTTTTATGTTTATCAGTTTAATCCAAACAATTTTATATCTCGCATATATTTTATATTCATTTGTATAAATTCTATATTTGCATATAAAATAAAATTAAAAATACTAATATAAAAGAAATATTACAGATAAAAAAATAAAGAAACTCATTTAACACTTCAAAAAAGCATTGATTGATCATATTTTGAGAGCATTATGAAATAGTTTTGTTGAATAATTTGGTGTAATGTAATAATTTAAAATTTAGTTTGTGTATTTTAATTATTATGTTTATGTACTTTATCTAATAATGTAATATTATAAAGTCTATAATATAAATTTAGTTAATGATATTTTTAGTGTATGTTTCTTTGTTATTTATAAAGTTATATAATTTTAATTAATAATAATTAAAATTAAAGACTATGCAATATTTTAAATTTGTGAGATTAGATTTGAGGTTTTGCCTTTAGAGACAAACATCATCAAACTTGAAGTTGTATTTGGAGATGTCCTAAACCGGATTTAGACCAGATTAAGACTGATTGCAATTATGACCCGAACACAACCAATCTTCTTCTTCTTCTTTTTTCCACCATCTTATATACCCATAATCCTCATAATTTTGTGATTTTATCATCTGGATTTTCTTTTTTAATTTATCTCATCTTCACTTCAAATTTTATTCTAAAATTCTCTCCAAGAAATGAGGGTTCATCGATGACAATCTTCCTCAAATCGTCTTTCCGTTTGATCGATCTGTTATTCTCTATCAAAATCCATGGATGATTTGTTAGAGTTAGAGTTATCAAAATTGCCGGAAAATCGTTGTTAACCAAGTCAATTCTCCGTTCAAACAAAGCTTAGAAAAACAAATATATTCAAAATTCTCTCAAGAACTCCACCAGAAACAGTCTGAAGATTCAAAACCCTTCCTCCTCCTATAACTACTGCCTAATAATAGAACAGCAAGACACTATGAGCTCATAGCGAAGGTTGAGGGACAATGGAATCTTACCTCATGAGAAGCTATGAGATTTGGGGTTTTTAATGATGATTCATTTGTATATGAAATATGGGAAGAAGAGATCTCTTCAAATGATTAACAGTAGAAAAAGACGAGAAGACAAGGAGGTAAGCTTTTCTGATGCGAGTTCATGAAATGACATTCTCATCTCCATTTCCTACGTGTCTAATTAATTTATTCTTGTGTTGTTATGCAGCTGAAGGGCAGAGCCTGGCAGTATCATGGGACGTGGGAAGAAGTATATAAAAGCGCAAAAAGGGCAGATCGAAGTAAGAATGATCTACATGAGAGGGACGAAGGTGAGCTGCTAAGAACGGGTCACCCTTTATGCATATATGAACCTTATTTTGGTGAAGCAACCTGGTCGTTTCTACATCAATATCCCCTCTATCGTGGTGTCGGCCTGGTGAGTTCCCATGTGCAATATATACTGTTGTTGCAAGGATACAAAAGAGGGAAATATTTCTAGACTGATGTGAGTGCATCATATTGCAGTCAGTTAAAGGACGGAAACCTAGGATGGATAAATATCGATGCATCTCCACGTCTTTCGCTTTTCAACAATCAGTACTATCGCGATCCATTTGGCGACTTTGGAGCACTTTTTGCAATTCAAACAAGATTAGCCGTTTACACAAAAATTCGTGGATTGGGTTTCAGTCCTAGAGAGCGACTGCCAGAAAGGTAAGTATCTTTTGTGCATAAAAAAATCTTTCATCATTGCTATAATAGAAATGTGTATCGAGTAATAATATTTACTTGTGATGTAATTCGGGACCCTTAAACAGGAATCTCTATCCAAGATTGCTGAGGACGCATTACTTAATGCTATACAAACACGGAAACACGGAGATGCCTTATAATTTTTGGGTTCACATGGACAAAGATCGGAGACTCTCTCTGAAGAAACCCTTTTGGTCGCTCTGTGATGTCATAAATGTTGGGAACTGCAGGTAAGACACTACATATATCTTAAAACATAGTTTCGATAACAATGTTTGAGGCTTTTTGCTCGTACTGTTTGCAATTTATGGGCTTGGGTCAAGGTTTGCTTTCGACGAAACTTTGAAAAAAATGTACAGTATCAAGATTTTGGACTCACTGCAACCAATGCCCGAGGACGGATACGTGGTCTGTGATACAGAGCTGGGTACCGCCAACAAGATCCTTCTTAGAGTTTCTCATGTTCTCAAGGTGTTTGCTTGTTATTGACTGTCTCAGTCTGATCCTAATTGGAAAGAAAAAAAAAAGTACTTAGAGAGTGTGAGTCTCTTGTTTGTGGGATTCATTGGATGGACAGATCTATGAAGAACATCATCGAACAAACCGTTGCTATCTGAGTGTAACTAAAGTAAGAAATCCACTCCTTCTTCTTCCAAAGTTGAGATAGGTTTAAGATTCTAATTCAGATTAATGCCTTTGGGTTTGGATTTGAGTAATGTGGATACAGAGTGAGTCTCCTCATCTTTTTTGATGTTTAAGAGTGTTTTTTTGTGATTGGTTTTAAGTATCTGATTTTGGGTTTTCTTTTTGACAAAACTTATAATGTGTTAGATTAGCCATGATATTGATGAGGGTCCTCGGCTTAAAGTGGTGAAGAAAGAATGGTTTGAGGGCAAGGATTGTCTTGACATTGGCTGCAATAGCAGGATTATGACTATCCATATTGGTAAGCTTCTTATACATTTGCTAAACACATTTTTTGAAGAACACCAAAAAATCCTTTCTTGGTACAAGAATCTAATGCCCCTATTATATTTGTAGATGTGGCCCTTTGTGAGTATTTGTATAGTTGTATGGTTTCTACTGATTTGATTTCTTTATGAGAATGCTATGTCAAAGTGGGATTGGACTTTCACTGTCTTGGATATGTCTTTGTTAACATCTTGCTTTTCTTTTTCTTCAGCTAAAAAGTTTAGTTGTCGGAGCATTTTTGGAGTGGATATTGATTCAAGTAAGCACTATTGGTTGTCGTAATATCTTCCAAGATTTTTCTTTTTCATATAGGACATAGATTAAACTGTTAGCTACATACGTTATCATTCAAGTCTGGAGAAAATGTTTAGTTTGATTTAATCTAGTATCTCATATTAAGTCTTAACTCAAGTGAAACACAGAACAATAGATACTTTAATCCAGATATGTATTTTGGAAGCTTTCGTAAGTTTTATCTTTCTGAAGTAATTGTTTCCTGTGCATTGAACTAGATTTCCTTTGGCTGAAGGTCGCATTGAGGATGCTCACTAACATCATAAGAAGTTTGTGAGAATGCAGAATTCTGATAGGCCAAATGAAAAGAAATATAGCTCATAGGGTTTGAAGGAGGAATCTGTATCCCTTTCCAATGGTGTGACAAAGTCAGACAACCAAGAAACTAAAAACCTGTCTCAGATTGTCTCGTTTCAGAAAGAGAATTTTGTTCAAACTCAAAAATTTGACGACAATCGTTATGATACAATTCTATGGTAAATTTCTTTTTATTTTTGCCTGTTCTTTCACTCTGTAAGTTTGGTTTCTTCTTCTTGGAGAGAATTGGCAACAATTAAGAACGTTACCGATTTTTTTGGTAATGCTCATACCACAAAATACGTATGAAACTCAACTACTGTAATTTAGAAAATATTTGCCTGATGTTTTTGGCTAAAGAATCTTATGTCACTAAGCCTTTTGATCTCACTGTTTCCTAAAGGAGGTCTCATCTTTAGTTGAAATCCAAATACAAACAGTTTTATTGATGACATGTTTGCTCTTTGATGCAGTTTGAGTGTGACAAAATGGGTTCATTTGAATTGGGGTGATGACAGTTTGATAACCTTGTTTTCAGAGATTTGGCGTCTTTTTAACCCAGTAGCTACATTGTACTTGAATGTGTCCATTTTCTCTTCTCATATGCGCAGCAATTGACTGTTGTCTTTGCTTTTAAGGATGGTATTTTTGTAATGGAACTTCAGCCTTGGAAATCTTATGAAAACAATCGTTGTGTTTCAGAGGTGTGTAGAACACAAAGTTTCTTTCTGATTGCACAAGTTAGCTATACATATAAAGAGTTTTAATCTGTGTTTGTCTTCTGTAATTTGCAGACAACTGCAATGAATTACCGAAATATTGTTTTACGTCTAGAGTATTTCCAAAAAATTCTTCTTGATAAGGTACCCTTTCTACTCTATTTACTTCCTTACTTTGCCTATACTCTTACCTGATCTATAAAATATGCTATGCAAGTAGTGTTGGCTTCTTTTACATCAAGCTTGTCTGACTCAAGCAAAGGGTTTGATATACAAATCCTTGCATTCCAGAAATGAACTTTAACAACTAGAAGCGTAAATGAAGAAGAATTTGAGTTTTTGAAAAGCCTTGTAAAAAATCAAACTAATTTTGGGATTACACACAAGATGTGAAGAAACAACTACAAGTCGCTTCATATCTGTAAAAGTCCTCAAGTATAAAAGGATTCTAATTGTTTTACTTTTCTTTTAATGGTTGTTGTGGATTGTGGCTTGATCTCTGGGTGTAGAGATTCAAGGGAGATTGCTTTCAAAATTATACGCTTTGGTGGTGTATCTTTCGATTTCATATCAATAAAGGTTTTTCTTGATCTTTTTTTCAGCAAATCTATCGTTTACAGAATCAATCAAACGTTAGAGGAAATATAACAACAACAAAATAAAGTATCTCAAGTGATAAGGTTTTAAGCAGATATAATCATGAAAGGGCTGGTGACTGTCTTCTTCTTACTTCATTCTTCATAGTAAGGTCCTTTTCCAGATAACAAATCTGGGACTCGCCATGCCGCCGAGAATCCCTCAGATGCTATTGTAGACGTTTCGGGCTGAGCGAGCATGATTCTTATGTCTCCATTGAGATATATCATACTCTTTTTGAATTCTGGATCACCCGTTATCAAGAGAAAGACTGAGGGAAAAGGGCGAGGCTTTCTGATGAGGTTGTGACGAGCCTTGCCATAGATATCTCTCGTGATCATGAGATCAGCAGCCTCCGGTTTAGCTAGATGAAGTTTCATATCTATATTCATTTTTCCCAAACCCGATCTAGCCAACTCATTACATTGCTTGCACACGCAATATCGTTCTGGAGCATAGCAGAACTTCATAAAGCGTGGCATGTTATCATTAGAAAATGGAGATTTTAACCCATAGAAGCTAATATAATCCACAACGTAATTTTCATTAAGACCCTTCTGAGATTTGTTTAGAGCTTTGTCAATCTGCTTTGTCATATGGTAGTCCGTTGGTGCTGGATTTCTGTTGAGATCCCAAAGCACCTCCACTCTAACTGGAGAGGGAGAGAGATTACGTGATTGCATCGACATGGTTAACAGAAGAGGATGATGACGACAATGACGATTAATCAGGTTTATCGACAAAACGATAAATCAGCCACCTTGACAATTAATCAGCCGCTTAGTCGCTGATCAGTCCAACTGCCGCAATTTTGTATGCGAATAATTAATTTTAAACTGCCTAAAACAAATTTCTT